CCCCCCCCCCCACCCCCACCCACCCAGGACAATGGGTGACTGTCTTTGCCTCCCACTGAGCTCTGCAATAATTATCATGATAATCATGATCAGCAGAGGCCTGATTCAGCTGGCTGGGCCAAAGTAAGAACAAGGTACTTGCCAGTCAAAGCCTCTAGTGAACACTGCTGCTTACTGAAGGGTTGTGTCACCCCACTAGTTTTTCCCCCCAGGCCTGATCCACCCACCCACTGTTAGGGCAGTCCCTGTACCGACCAAGACGGCAAGTCCCCTACTGTTTTGGACACTGCACTGGCCTGGAGCCGGGCTGCGCCCGAAATCAGACAGAAATACTCTCCTCAGTTTAATGAGAACGAGCAATGAAAGTCAATTTGAAACGAAGTCTCCTTGGCTTATTTCAACACAACCACTACCACTGAAGCTAAATTAAGCCTTGTCCACATATATCCAAATATTTTGTTTTGAACCAGAAGATTTTCTCCGTTTTCATGAACAAACTACTCCTTCACACATAGCGTATTTGAATTGTTTTAGTCCGTCTGGCTAGTTTCAGCGGTATTGCCGGGTGGACTATATAAGGCACATGCACCATCTATTAATTATTATTCTCCAGAAAAGACACAGAGGTTATTATTATGGCTTTGCACCTTGCCTTTCCCGCTCTCCGCTCCATGGCTCCTCTTTCGGGTGATATTTTATTTCTCTTCCCGCCCCACCCAAACCTATCTCGGGTGTGTATCTTAATTTCATCTGGAAGAAGCCGCCAGTTTTTCCCAACCTTTATATACTGTAGGAGAGTGGGCTAGATCGCTGTAAATATAGACCACAAATGAAAAGGCTAGCATCTCTCGGAGAGCATGCCCAATGTCATCACCTTATTCAAAAACCTTCGTTTTCCCCCGTCCACACACAAGTGAGAAGCAAGCGTTTTCATAAATCTCCCGATTTTGAAACCGTTAGGTTTTGGTTCCCGAAAACGCCGTGTGGACCGAACACACTAGGAAGACTATGAAACTCGGAGAAAAAAAACCCCTCTGTTTTAAAAAATATATTTCTGGATACGGATGGACGGGGACATAATATTCCTTAAATAGCATGCTTACATTTTGCAGTATCAGTTTAGTTGAGGAAAATTAAATTTATTCCAAAAGCAACAAAATAAAATACTACGTAGACTCCTTACGGTACCTGAAAAATCAACAACTTTCTGTTTATCGGCATTTTTGATGATAATAAGCAAAGGTCTCATTCAAGGCTTTGCCGGGGGCTGAAATCGTTTCACTGATTATTTTCAACCTTAATTTGTTTTCAAGAAAAACATGGAAAACATTCCTTTTAGATACGCAAATGAATGTGTTTAAGCAGCCAGGGGCGTACGAGATATTTCAATGACATAAGAGAACACTTTTCTTTAGGGAATGACTTCAAACAATCGCGTGATGCACTTCGTCGTTTTTATTCGAATGCGAACGATTATGATTTGAAATTGACTTATTCTACTACTGTGAAACTCAGAAAACCGTGAAGACATGAAAAATTTCAGGAATGTTGATTGTGTGGTGAACAATCACAATAATGTTCAGGACACGCCAGCAAACCTCAAAACCACAAACTAATTACCGTTGCTGTTTGCGGTTTAGTTTTCTCATGCCTTATTGGCTATTTCCTCGCAACACAATAACATTCCATAAATAATTCTGGCCCAGAAGGCGAAATCCTGAGCCCGGGAAGGGTACTGCCATATATGGGCTATATAGGTATGTGCCGCTGTAAAGGGTATGGTTTTCAAGCAGTTTACTCTAGGATAGGGTATATAAATCAGAACATTTGGGTCTAGAATAGGGTATCATTTTTCAGGAAACTGATCAGTTGGTTGAAGATTTTATCTAGACTAGGGAAACAGCTACTCTAGGATAGGGCGGGATTTGAGGAGTTTAGTCTAGTATAGGGTAGCAAAATTTAGCTGAACTAGCTCTGGTATAGGTTAAGGGTTCCAGGGTCCTAGCGGCACATCCCCACCCAGAAACTCCTAAAGTACGCCGCCCCCTCCCCCCGGGCTTACGGCTAAAATTGTCACTGTTATCGCATTTCAATTAAAGGTAAAGCTACAATAGGTAAATACTATATCATGTTGTTTTTTAATAAAGTGGTTGTTGTTGCCGTGTTTGTTTCGATCCAGTCGATCCATCCCAAGAAAAAACAAACTGTCGAAAAACCAAAAGACACTAAAATAGACGGGTTCACGCTCGTAGTTGCATCGTGGGTAATCAGGGCAAGATGGTGGGAAATTCAAAGATTTGTATTGGAATTCAAAGCCAGCTAAATCTTCCTGAATTCATATATTTGACACTTTCTCTTTGAAAAGTGTAATTTACGAATTTAAATTACATTAAATTACAATTACATTAAATTTACAGTACACTAAATGTGGAGGCAAAGAAGTCCGTAGTCAGTTTTTAGAAAACGTTGATTTCTCTATAAATTTTCTGTAATTCGACAGTATCAAAATTGCAGAAAATGTACAGGAAAATTGAGGTTTTCGAAAAACTGATCTTGGTCTATGATGCAGTTCAGATTCAGCTTATCTTTGAATTCATAAGTTACACTTTTCAAAAAGAACTGAAGTGTCAAATACAATTCGGGAAGATTTAGCTGGCTTTCAAGGAATTCCAATACAAATCTTTGAATTTCCCACCATCTTGCCCTGATTGCCTATGATGAAACTGTGAGCGTGAACCTGTCTATACTTGGTCACTTTGTTGTTTTTTTTTTAGCCTGAGAAAACTGCCGACATTTCGCGACGCGGCCACCGCTGGCCTTCCCCGCTAAATGACAGCTGAGGAACAAAAATTCCATACTGATAACGTGTCACTACCCAGATCTGGGTAGCGCTTCTGATTGGTCGTGCCACGAGAGAAATTTGCTTTCATATCGAAGGCACACATCTTTCAAATTCAAAGTCTTAATATAATTGTATCAGTGGAACTTCACAACAACTACATAGACCATAATCCGTCAGGGTATGTACGTTGAAATAACTGAAAACGCAAAAATATCATTCTGAATATTATCAATGGCTCTTGGTATTATAAACAAACAAACAAACAAACAAACTTTCAGTCTTCAACATGAAGATTTCAGCATTAAAAGAATCAAAATAACAACAAGTTAAATAAAAATAAGATAAAAGTAAAGTAAGAGATAAAGCAACAACAATAACATATCAATTACTCATAACACGTTTTTGGGAAACTGCCCACTTACCCCTCCCCTAAGCCAACATTTGCCCTGAGTGACAAGTAAGTGTTAAAGTCGGCTTAGGGGAGGAGTAGGTGGGCAGTTTCCCAGAAACGTATAATATAATGATCCGAATTGCGTAATAAGGCAAAATTGGAGAAAACATTGCAGTTTTGATTACCGTCACAGGAATTCCACTCCTCACCTCCGTGTTCATTTAAATTCTCTCTTTACTCCTTTTTATTTTATCATTATTTTTTATTATGGCGGAAGTTGATCCATGTATGGAACAGTGGCGGAATGGGGATTCGGATCTTCAAATAAATGTGTTCAGCTCGCTTTTCCAGACCGCGAGTGCCTCAAAAATAATTTGTTCTCGGCCTTAGTCTCTTACCCGAGTGAAGAATAGGATCCCGCGATTGTCACGAGTCACTATAATTGATCACGCGTTCATTGATCCATTACGACAATACTTCAAAGCCGTGTCTTCAACTATTTGCTTCCAGTTTGGAAAGAAACGGACGCTTATTTGCATTAGTCTTCACTGAGGTACAGGCAAGCTAACATCAAGCAGGTAATAGCCAAACAATGCAACATTTTAAATAATTAGATGGTCTCACTGATTCACGTGTTTTAAGTGGTAAAATAGAAGGTGGTTTTCTCAGACGAAACGACACGTTTGGATTACAATGAAACCTCTATTGAGCGGACCCCCAATTAAGCAGACAAAAAGCCGGGTCCCGAAATTAACGTCTTATATTTTCCTTTATAACGAACTCCTATTTAGCGGACACGTCTATTTTAGAAGCGGACGCGGACACTGAAATAAATTGTATTTGGCTTATTTCTATCGTTAAAATCCTCTATTAAGCAGGCACCGGACTGAATTGACAATAGAACACAATAGTAGTGTTGGATTACGTCCTTGAAGTACGTACCGTAGTCAAATAGGGACGGACCATTAGAAACGTTATGGGGGTGGGGGGTGGGGAATTTTTTGAGCCGCAGGAATTTTTTTCGTTATCAAATTCCTTGTATGAATTTTTTTTAGGCCGTAGCGTGAATATTTTTTAGGGTTAATTGGCGTGCATGAATTTTTTTTCATTTAGTTTTCTAATGGTCCGTCCCTTAATAAAGATAAATCAATACATTTAGCTGCCAATAAACTGAAGATTAGACCGATATCCGCCCCTATGATTGTCATCCGCGATCAAATTTCACCTAAAAGTCTTGCACAAAGTACAGCGCTTCCTTAACGACATGGAACTTTACCACAGTACAGAGTAGCCGTTATGTGTTTTCATTAACAAACATTGCGCAATTTTCATAACCCTTATTAAACGGACACCCTTTATTAAGCGGACACTTGGGAAGGTCCCGAAGGTGTCCGTTTAATGGAGGTTTCACTGTATATTATTTACTTACATCCATCAATGCTTTCTTATTGATGTAGTTGTCCAAAGAGCGACTTATGGCAAAACCATGAAAGATACTGCAGAAACAGAAGCGCCCATATAGAATCGTGTGTTTACTTTAACATATAAACTGTTAGTGTTCATGTTTCTGTCAATTAAAACCGTAAACTTCCTCGTGTAAGTCTACCGCCCCCCCCCCCTCCCCCACCCCCACATTAGTTAAAGGTCCATCTACCTGTAAACAAACAAACATCTCCGGTTGTAAGCAGTTTTCTAGCTTGAATTACAATGAATTCGATTTTTCATGACGTTAGGTTGAACCTAAGTTCATAAAGGATTTTGATTAGCACTGCGCGCTACGTACCTTGTTTGAAAACGCTTTTTTAGTCTGGTTATAAGTTTAGTTCTGGTTTTGTGATTCATTCAGATTTTTAAAGACAGTCTTACAGAAGTTAAAAGTGATGCAATTTTCTAAACTTGGTATGTGAAAGGGTTACCATTTGTCAATAGAAGGTGCTATACGAGAGGGGTAACTTCTCTGTCAAAAAAGCATATAAAAGTGTAAGAGGCCGACCTCGGCGCGGAGTCTCCCCATATAAACCTTTGTTGATACCCCATCCCCCCCCCACCCAAAAAAAGAAAAATTCATGTCAATCCTACCACTTCCGAGTGAGTACGTACCCCTCATTAAATCCCTCATTTTAAGATACTGTACAGAGAAAAGGCTTCCTGTTTCAGGATGCTAACCCTTGCTGATTATTTTGAATGATTCTACCCTGCTGTGTTTTCATCCTGGGACAGAATGGCTGCCAAATCTTATGAAGCTGGCGTGAGAAAATACTACGGTGACAGACTGACCAACATCTCAGATGACACAACAAGTGAAGAAATTAGGCACGTTTACGATAACTGGGCCAGCGAATATGACAAGGTAACAATAATTTCATCTGACCCCGTGGCATGGGTCCAGATAAGTTTTTTGAACAGACAAAAACTTGCACGGATCCGCCTTTCGATTACACCGAACCCGCGCAAGTTTATCAGGAACGCAAACAATACAGCAATCTGCAACAGAATTTGCACGGTTTTGCATTGTGTAAACGAGTTGCACAGGCCAAAAAATTCGTCCGTTTAAAATTTTTTCCGGACACAAGTAAACAGGGTCAGTTTCGTAATCAGGGGAAATTAAGTTTAATGGTTTTCATTCTCAATTCAGCCTCTCCAAGAGTCAAGAGAGTAGCTACAGAGGTTTCTAAATTCAGTGCCAGGTCTCTGAGATCTCTTAAGAACTCCAAGTTTAGTTTCTCCCTCTTACAATCCCCGTGTAAGTACATAGTCAGGGATAAGGATTTTTTTTATCTGACTATAACAGTCTATTCTCTACTCCGCAGGTCTTCTTCTCATTAAAAATCTCAAAAAGTTGCTACCAGAACATAAAAATGTATGAAAAGATAAATAAGTCAGTGTCTATGATCTTAAGTCTTAGTTTGAAATACCGGTTTCAGTATTCCCCTTCGAATACGAGGTACGAACTAAACGAACACAAATTTTAGAAAGTTTCTCAAAATAAGTAGACTTTTTTCAGACGTGGTTTAGGCTGAGTATTAAAAAACGCCACAACATTGTGCCAATTAGTTATTGTGACTCAAAAAATAATTCTCAGCAAGGAGAAATGTTTGGTGGAAAGGTCTTGCCCTGACTTTCCAACGGACAAGATCGCTCGAACACACAGCGCATGAACCGTTTCAAAATCCGGGGGGAGTATGACAATAGACAAATTGAACCATGCGTTTTTCATATTCTTGCTACGCATGGCATAATATCCAATCAAAATGGAAATTGTTGGAAAAATTGACGGAAACCCATTGTCCCACCCTCGTTCCCAGGGTCCTCTCGTTTTCCAATATGGCAGGAAAAGACCTGGGGACAAGGTTGCCATTTTTCAAATGACGTCACATTTGCCATACCTAGGTAAAATATTCTGGGAAGGTCACACTACTGATATCGGCCCCCAAGGTTTTCACGCGCAGTTGAAATATTTGGTGCGTAAATTCAAAATGGCAAGATGCTCAGGGATCTAGCCGATGAAAGAAACGTTTTTCTTTTTATCTCGTTGATATTTCTTACGCTAATTCAACGTGCAAGGTGAAGACAGGCGAAGACGCGGACGACTTGTGCCCCAAAATTCCTTTTACAACGTGAGCTATAGCCGCTTTTGTCATCACGACCTTCGCCGATGAGCGTCTATTGGCTAGCAACCTCGGTATTTCATTTTTCCCTAGCTATCGCTTTGGGGTAGCTGTCAAGGGAAAGTCTATTGTTCTCGAGACATATCCAAGCCCCAGACGATAAAATTTTCCCGATGTACGTTACCTAGGGAAAAATCGGTCACACCTAAAAAGCAAGTTTCCCTTGGTAAACTGTCAAGACGCCGAGTTTACCTGTAGGTAAAAAGTCTGTAGTGTGTGACCACAGCTAATGAAACGGTGGCCGAGTTAAACCTTGTCCTTGAAAAACTTTCTTTTTCTCTAAGTAATTTTCATCGCTGCTGGCCACACGAGTAAAAACGTTCTGCACTAAGATCAGACTTATTATGACTTGAGCCTAAATAGTTTTAAAAATTAAGCAGAATATAACGCTCGTTCATGGAGTGTCTTTATTTAACCCTACGTCTTAGAATGTTGTGGACGCAGCACGTTGTGTTTTCCACAAGCCACTTGCGGAATCTCTAGATGGAGCCCTCAAAGACAATTTTCCTGAAAAAGCAAAAGATGCCCTTAAAATCATTGACGTGGGAGCAGGAACCGGATTAATAGGAACAGAACTTCACAAACTTGGTTACAGTAATCTTCACGCGTTGGACATCTCACCTGAAATGTTAAAAGAAGCAAAGAAAAGAGATATTTACAAAAGGTTTTTTTGCGTCTCATTAAGTGACCAACAGATTCACGAAATACAAACAGGAGAGTTTGAGGCTCTTATTTGTGCTGGTAGTCTCCTTGCGGGGCATATCAGGGCAGCTGCTTTTGAAGAAATGGTCAGGATGGTAAAACATGGTAAGATTGTTGTCATTGTTTTTTTCTTAGTGTACAGTTTGTCATAAAAAGGAGTGTCAATCAATTCTTAACTACCTAAGTGGCGATAATGATAATAATAATAATGATGATGATGATGATGACAACGACGACTACGAAGATGTTGATGACACTGGATAAGTTTTATCTTGACAACAGGGGGAGGGTTTAGGGAAACAGACAATTCTTTTTCAGAGATTAAAGACTGTTTCTTTTGCCCCATTCTCGCGACATGACTATCATTACATTTTATAACAATAAGTATCACTGTAATTTTGAATTGTCAGATTTTGTTGTTGTCGTTCATAGGTGGTATAATCTGCTTCAACGTGCGGGATGGTCAGCTGGATGACTACCGGGAGAAAATACAGGAACTAGAGAGAACGGGACGATGGGAAGTGATCTCTAAGAACGCAGTGTCTTTTTTCGAAACTGAGGAAATGCCCAGAGAAACCTACGCTTTCTTGTTTAGAGTTTTGAGGAAGTAACGCCAACATTCAAGCTTGTCATTAGTAGTGGTAGCGCCAACATTAGAGACCTCTAGACTCGAGGACGAGAACGACAACGAGGACAAGATTTAACTTAAGGTTTTTTCAACTGTTCTTAAAAAAATAAACTCCGCGGAAACTTCATTGTACTTACAAGAAAAGTTAAGTCAATTCCATGCAGTAAACTAAAAATTGCTCAATAGCATATTTGATTTCACTTTCAATTTCCCCGAAAATTCCCTGATAAGGCAACGCTTTAAGAGGACAAGACGAATAACTGCGTGAGCTCGTGCAAATGCTTTGCCAATCAAATACGGATGGATCAAGAAAAGTTACCATATGAACACTCATGTACAAGCCCCAGGCGGGTCCAAGAAATAACTAGGTTGATCATGAGTTATCAAGCAAAGCACATGCAGATGGCGAGTACAGAAACCTCAGTTGGTCATCGACTGGAGCCGAGTTGGGCCTCGGCTTCGGGCTCGAGTTAGGAGTTGCATCTCGAATTGATCTTGCCTTGTTTCTTTGATTACTTTTTGTTGACCGTGATGTTCTGTTTTTTTTTTTCTTTCAAAAGATCCCCACGTAGCGCGGTCTTCAGAGAAGAGAGTCTAGAGGCTGTTGCCTGGTACATATTTGACCAACAACAAAGCTATAAGGGTGTCTAAGTAAATTAATTAAAAAAACAAAAACTAATTTAAAAATGCAATAAACTATAATATTTTAATTCTTCAAAACTCTGTATAAAAAACCAAGGATGTCCTTCGGCAAGTCATCGTTTTCATATAAAGGAATCTTTTTTTCGCTGACTTTTATCCATCGTCCATCTTTCTCGAGTTCCAGCATCATTCCTTGGTAGTCGCCTAACTCAGTGTCTCGGATATCAAAACAAATGAGGCCAGCTGCAAAGAAAAAAGTGCCATCGTGAATAAAAACACTAAGGTCCACCTTTTTTTACAAAACCAGCTTCCCAGACAAAAATAAGTGGTAAAGAAGAAAATTAATAGTAAAGCTGAAGAGATGAGAGCTCGATACTGTTAAAAAAGGTAACTAGAGCTCAGGCTCCAAACGGTGGTGTAGCCGCAGCCTTTACGGGCTTTAAATTTGCACACAAAAAACTTTATTTCTACATCTTCTACAATCAATAGGAACAAGGCGAACCGAAGAGAAGCGATGTGAAGTAGAGCGAAACAAAGTGAAGCGGTACTGATAAAAACAACAATTAAACAATTACAAGGTCAAGATAAAATAACCAACCAATTGAGCGAAAGTAATAAGGCAAAATGAAAATGCGAAGAAACAAACGAGATACTAAACACGATAGCGGAATAAGATGAAACACAAAATGAAAAGACTTAAACTGGACCAGCGAAGCACAACAAAGAACTGACGCGAAAATTACAATCGAAGCTAAATATGCTATATGCAAAAAAACCTTAACACGAAGAACAAAGATACGCAAACAATGAACGGCTCATAAACCTAAAAAAACTATACTTAAGGCGCGAACACGAAAATAACTAAAACGCGGCAAACACACAAACGCTAAAGAAAACGCAAAACGTTCCTTGCGCTTAAGGGTGGAAAACACTATCCGCTGGATAAATAAGAAACAGTGTATAGCGAAACTTGTTCCTTGTATAAGGATTTATAGTGGATAGCGATGAGCAAGTTTTGAACAACTTGACACAGAAAGGGTGCGACATTTCACAGATATGCAATTTGGAAAGAGTTGTGTTGAGTTGTGTTGATACAATACTTGAAACAGGTTAAAGAAATCAATAAAGTTGACTCTTTCTTAACGGAAATCTCCGTATAAGACGAAACCTCGATGAAACGGACACCTAGAGTTGGTCCCTTCTTTTCTTTACTCCCTTTATTTGACTCTCTAAAGGACAGACATCCCTCTAAGACTGCCCCAACAGTGTCCGTCTTAGAGAGTTGACTGTAATAACAAGAACAAAAACAACCACAAACAAATATAAATCAAGACAAAAACAAAACAACCCCACACCACACCACATCAGGACGGCACTCTCTTATTTGGCCTAAAGAGGTACGCGCAACTGAACAGGATATTGAGTCTTAAAGAGGGTATGCAATTTTAACATTTCGCTTATTGAAATTTGGGCCGAAAACCTTTAAAATGGTGTTAAGGTTGGCGATAAGCGGTCTACATTTATGTTAACACAATAAGATGTTTTTCTCTAGTTTGAAGAATTACTGAACCGTTTGCAAAACGAAAGGAATAAAGGTTTTAAATTAAGGTTTCCTGTATTCAACAAGGTAGCGAAATGAGCACTTTTAGCCTTAAACAGGGTGAGGGGTTTGAACACCTTGGCGGCAAATTTCTACCTAATTCTCTTGAGTGCCACGGCCTCGCGACCAACACCATCAACAACAACAACCAAACAAACTAAAACAAAGAGGCGACTTAAAACCAGCAAAATAAAAGACAAAATTGAGAGACAAAATAAAAGACAAAATCGTGGTCACAGAATGATAAAGAGGGTTGTAACTATTACTACAGGCATAAATTTGGTCTTTTTGCGATCAAAGCAATCAAAACAGTTCAGTAACACTTAAACGGGGGGACATGCTTATGTAGCTGCCATACCTGTAGTAGTATGTGTCCGGAGTTTCCCTTTTATAAACTTTTTCACGCACAAAATAACACTAAAATGCTTTCTCGACAATACGTTGACTTTCCTTAGCCGAATAGTGCATTTTTCCGCCCCAGACCCCGTTTCCGAAATGGCAGACTTTGCTGCCTACATACCCTTCAAACGTGCAGACAGACGGTGTTCTATGTATCGTTTGATTGATGAAAATCTATTTCCAAATATTTTTCATTAGGTCGCGCAGCATTAAAAATAATGGTAATTGGACTATAGGTCTTACCGATCCTAACCATTCTGATCATTTCCAAAAACGCAGAGGAGCGAGCGTGTCCCCTAAACAGTGTACCAACGCAAATCAGAGCATCATATTCCCCAGTGTCTATTTCAGGAATCCGCTGATCACTCAACGAGGCGCAGATGAACTTTTTGTAGACGTTTTTCTTTTTTGCTTCGTTTAACATTTCAGCTGAAATATCCAACGCGTCCAGTACATTGTAGCCAAGCTCATGAAGTTCCAGACCTAACAGTCCCGTACCTGCACCGACTTCAATGATTTTCCACTCATTCTTTGTTTTGCCTTCGCAATCTTGTTTGATTGAGTCATCTAAATACTGGCACATTGCTCGGTACACAACACAGCGCGTTGACAGGACTTGCTGAAATTGTCAATCAACCGCAGCTTTCGATCAATGCATAATAATGATAATAGCAAAGATAATGAAAGTAAATAACAATTATTCACCGAAGTGGAGGTGGCTAGTCCTGGTTATTTACCGAACTGCGAAGCAGTGAGGTAAATATCCACGACTAGCCACCGACACTGAGGTGAATAATTGTTGTAGTATATACTAAAACAGTGAGATAATTGAGCACAAAAATGACGATTTTTAACTCAAATACTGTTGCCAACGATTACAATTTTGGCGCATAATGACCGGGCTGCTGCGGCCGTCGCTTTTTCTTGCCGAGAATTAAAACTTTTGAAGGCATTTGTTTAGCTCTTGCGGGGAAATTTCTTCAAAAGGAGTTGTGAATTCTTTTCGTATTTAAAATCATTCTATAAAAAAATATTATTAAATTTAGTTTTAAGCTTTTTTATGAGCAACTCAACTAAATAAAGCAAGCAAGACTTAAACTTAATTTGCATTTGTAAACAAAAACTTTTTCACCGGTTTTATCGATAAATTCGTATCAAAAAGACAAAGCTTTACCTGTTAAAACTTCCAATCCGAACTTCGTCACCTTCTTCGTGTATTTCGGAAACAGCTTGCTTGATTAGTTGTGAAATTTCTTTGTTTGTTTACGGCAGCAAACCAGGAAGGCATTTTGCTCGCAACTTACGCGAGTTTGGCGTCGCTCGCTCGGAGGAACTGGAGGTGAATCAGTGAATAGTGCAGGATATTCACTGATTGAGTAGCCAATCAGAGCGCGCGAAAAACACTATCCACTGTTTCAGTATATACTAAAAATAACTATAACTAATAATAACAATCATCATCATCATCATCATCATCATTATAATTGTAACGCTTGGAGAAGAAGGTAAAAGAAGATATTTGATCAAAAGTGTGAAATATAAAATTCCTTCAACCATTTTCTTGACTGAAAGTGGCTACATACATGTACATACAATGACAAATGGCTGGAGGCTATGCCCATACCTTTGAGGCTAAAAAAAAAATGTAACAAACGAACTTTCAGGAAAGAGCACCTCATGCACAGTTTTATGTTTTTTACCATCTTTAAATTTACGACAGCTACCTTGAGAGTGCCGGTTACCGCCCTCCTTTTAAGTCAATTTATTCTTCCAGTGGACTATCGTTTCAACATTTGCTTACGCTGTAGTTGCAGCCGTGTACAGCCGCTCCTTCCCCTAGTACTGTGTAAACCTGAAAAGTAAGTTATCACCATCTCGCGAAATCGAGGAACGAAAGACTCGTCCCGAGAGACGAAAGTCTTGTCTCGCGAGGCGGTTAAGAAATTGCAAGTATCAAGTGTCTTTCGAGGTTTTCCGTCACAATACGGCATGCACTCGACCAAGCAGGTGATGTGATGAATTAGAGGCAAGAGATGCTCTAATTAGAAGTAGCTTAAAACTACAGTACAGTATCAACGAAAAATGAAGGAAAATTTACAGTCTTAAACGCGCTTGTCAATTATAATTGCGAAACCTCTCCGAGAAATACAGTGCAAAAACTAGGATAGTAACAGTAAAATGGATAGTACGCGTACATCGTCTGTTTTCACTATATTTATTCGAATATTTCATTTAAATATGTGATACCCTCGGCGTCACAGGCTTTTTGCTCGGGTAACTATGTAGACTCAACAGAAACCGGAAACCGCACATGAAAAGTCTCTGGCATCCGCAGTAAATGTGCAATAGTAAACAGCGAGAAATGTCACTATCAAGTCCATATAAGTTAAACATAGGAACCTTTAAGATTTTAATTGAAACAACTGCATTTGCTCTTTCTGAACTGGCTAAAACATTCGCCAAGACAAATGTAAGCTGCGTGTCTAGAACTCCCTTCCAGTCTCCCTTGCAAAGTCTCCCCTCAACTTCCCCAGGGTGTATACGGGGGAACAACAGCAATAAACGTTCCGCGATAAAAAAATAACACTGAACATCCTTCTTGTAACTTGAGGACCTTTGCGTGGTCTTGGCAGCCTAGGGCCGAGAAAAAGTGCTCCACAACTTAAGATTGACATGTGCATAACAATAATCATAACATCATCAACTAATGCAGGAGAAAAGTTACAGCCAAAGGCTGCTTTTACAAAGTAAAAACATCATGACTTGCCCTACGAACTGATTCTTACTGACGGCAAAGAAATCAGTTGAAAAAATGTGATACACGGGTAGAGTTGTTCTTTTGCTTATCAAACCTATAGCGTTTCTGCCGTTTTTGTTGCCGTCGCCGTCGTCGTTGCTTAAGCTACCTTTTATATTTATCTGCGGGTTTTACACGACAAAATAAATCAATTTAAATGTCTTTATTACCTCGTCATAACTGCTCGCCCAATCACGATACAATTGTCTAATCTCCTCCTCTGATGTGCTTTTTGAAACGTTCTTTAACCGATCGCCATAGTATTTACTGTATCCAGCTTCGTACGTTTTCGCAGCCATTGATCTAAAAAAAAAAAAAAGGAATCAATTAAAAAGAATAAATAAATAAACAAATAAATATAACTAGGTTATGCTGACCACATTTGGAAGATTTATGACATGATTTGCCCAATAATAAGTTATCAGTAAAAAATACATCCTGCAAAAGAAGTTGTGCTGTGGATCCTGAGCGCACAGCTTGAAAAATTTCGAATGCTCATCCAACAAAGAAAAACAGAATAACTGAATAGAAATATGACAGCAACAACACAAAAACGCTTGTACATGTAAGAGAAAAAAAAATCTACATGAAAAACGTTCATTTACTGTCTATAATAATATTCTGACAGTCTTCACCCTGGACTTGCTACTTAATGTCTTGGTTGTAATAAGATTGCATTTCTTAACGATCCTCAATAGCCTGCCAACCATTTAAGGTCTCAACAAGTGATCAGGAGAGTCAGGAGGGTGAGTCTGGTCAAACTATTAAGGATAGCAAAGATTTGGTTTTGCATTCTACTCTAACTAAGATAGTACGCGCGCACTGATTGGCCGAGAGGAGTGTTTGCATGAGAGTATGTAAACATGGTTGTGGCGTCAAGTTGTTTGGCTCTTCTCGCGCTAATCACGCAAGCGCGAATTTGAAAAGTTTTCGAGTTCAAAACTCGACAAGTTTACTTTATTTACCCATTCCTTCGTCGGCTGAAACATGGAAAATCGTTACAAAGAAGGTGTGTCAATTTTTCATCGCTTAAGCTGACATTTTAAGCGAGAAAAATCCGTATTTTGGAAAGCATCTTTTTGCAAAACAAGAACTGATTACGCGAGCAAGACTTCGTGGACAAGATTTTGCGACTGGTAAGAATTTCTCTTTTAATCAGTGCCATACAAAGAGTTTTACGTTTTTTTCTGGGGAAAGTTATATTATAAAAGCAATACAAAACTTTTTTCCTGTGTTTGAATAGCCTGATATAAACACTCGAGGAGTTGGGAGAATTCTCGACGGTTATAAAAACCTTCGACTTCGCCTCAGGTTTGCATAACTGTCTCGAATTCTCCCAACCCCTCTCGTGTTTATATCAGGCTATGCAAACACGGAAAACGTTTTCTACTGCTTAAATGTTCCACTCCACTTCCGGGGATATTTTATTGATAGCCCTAGGCTCCAGAGGGGATCGGAGAAGGGGTACTCACTCTAGATTTAAAAAAAAATGACGATGATCGAAGAATTTTGGGGTTTGTAATTTTCAATTTACAATGTAGGGATTTTTTGGGCAAACTCAATTAAATAATTATCTGCAGGAGATTTGTTTTGTGCCACTTATCCTGGCCTTGTCTCGTGGTTTCACATTCTGGTCATACCCAAAAAGGGTTTTTGCTTCAGTTCAATTGGTACATGTATGATGAAGGTGTGTGTTATATTTTTATCATTTCAATTATACAATGGAACATTTTCACGGCTCAGAATTTGGGCATGGGATTTTTTTGCGGAAATTTTTTTGTCAGGCGGATTTTTGGGTTTTAATTTTTGCCTCCATTCAATCCTCTTTGTAACTTTTATTATGGAGTTATCTCCCATAAGCCCAAGGCCATCTTCTTCAGCTGAAGAGTGAAGCCAAGATTAGCAACAAAGCTGTGAAGGAAACCTTTAGTTACCAATTCAAGGTGGTCTCTTAAAATACATGTATAAAGACTAGACCAAAAATGAGCACACTTTAACTCTCTAGCACCCCGGCACATGCACACTAAGGGATAGGATCATTCTCATGAGTTCTTGCTCCCTTAGAGTGCATATAGTGGGTATAACTCAAGCTGAGCAACCACAGTAACAACAGACAGATTTTGAGTAAATACTTCCAAAACGCTTGGAAAATTCTCATGAGTTCTTTATTCCTTTGTGTGCATGTGCCCTGAATGCTAGAGAGTTCAGTTGTGCTGTAACTCAAGCTGAGCAACTAACAACCGACAGATTTTGAGTAAATACTTCCCAGACGCTAGGAAACATTTTGAAATAAAATTTAATATGCAGTAATAATAATGTTGACCTCAGCTTTTGTATGAAAATGAAGAATGATCTCGAGAGAATGCTAATCAGCCATCTGCATAATTCTTCATATCATACTCAATAATTGTTAACAATTTATTAGAGCGATTTTCATATGACCTTGAAATGAAAACGCACGAACAAAACAGAAACAACAAACGACCTGAAATAGAGCGATTTGATTGGTTTATCGAAAGGATACAAATGCACGTCGGTTTTGGTTGGTTAAGCGAACTCGGGTGAAAAAACTTCATGCCCCAAATCTTTCCAGAAATCAACCGATACTTCTCTTTGACATCATACTGCAACATGATTGGCCAATCAAACAATGCTTTTTCCATATTAGGTTTTTCGTTGGTGGGAAAACAAAGAGGCCATGTTTTGATCTTTTCCTCCATTGGCTGATAAAATAAATAACAAACACTTACTGGAATCACTTTTCAAGGTCATACAAAAATCGCTCTATTTAGATAACACGGTCGAATGTAATGTTCTCAACCTAACCAAGTATCCCAAACAACTAAAACAATAAAAGAGATTAAAATGATCTGTGCAACATACTGCTGCAATTTTACAGTCATTCAATCAATATGATATACATAATATAAAAATAGTAAAAATAAAAATACAATGTTCAACAATTGCATAATTCTTGCTTCTCACTGCCATATTCCCACCAAAAGACCACAAAATATACATCCTATTCATTTTACGATCTAAGGTCTATTGAATGACTCTTGTCTGAAATTTATGTATCGGTCAAATCAAAGCTTGGTTCAACATCTCCATGGGGTCCCATGGGTATACATGGGCATTCAGCGCCTTTGCCTTCCCAGGGAGGGACGAGAGGAGGGGATGATTTGATCATCATGGTCTTTTGGGGATCAGGGAATGCATAAAAGCAGTGGTGAATTTGAACCCTAGCCTCTATTTCTTCTGATATGTCTTTCTGTTTGCATTAAGGCATGGCAAGTCATTGAAAAGTTTGGCATGGCCAGTTTAGATCATTAAATTTTAAAGAGGATGGTGGATCAGCCAAAAAGCAAAGAATTACACAAGCTTTGCTCTAGTGTCTGCAGACTCATCAATTAAGGTGCATCAGTTCATTAGTAATTAAGCTACATTAAAAGTTAATTAAATTAATGGTCCATTTTAATTACCCTGGGGTTGAAGCATATTGATCACCTAAAATGGTGCTCTTATGGGTCATTTGAATGGTGTTTTAAGGAATCACTAATTTTTCAAATATTCAAATGCCTGGAGGCAGGGTCTAAAGTACAGGTCACATTCCACAGGTTAAGAGTACACTGCTCCGTCGATAAATTACCAAACCACACACATTCCCCTCGATCTAAAAGAGCAGTTTGTTAAGAGAATAGGGCTAGGAGACACTTTTAATGCTATTCATTTATCTGTATCATTGTGACCTGTACAAAGTGACCTGTATTGTAGACCCGCCGCATTGTGAATGATATATTTTCCATGTCGAATGTCGTCGATCTCTTACCACCACAAGTTTTTTCGACGATAACTTTGAAGCAATGTAAATCACCTTTTAGAACAAGTTCAGAAGTTGACCAAGGTGACTCCAGCGTTCAGTGTAAGAACCTTTGATGATGTCTACCGCTCTGCTGTTAGATCCGCACCAGTCTCCTGGGATGCCAACAGAAGAGCGCGGTTGTCACGCAATGTTATAATTCATCACGCAAAGAACACTCTTTCGAGAACAACGTAATCATTTCACAAAAATTGTTCCAGTTTTGCTGCTCTTTCCACTCATCGCTGTTTCTCCTTGCCTGGATTAGCTTGTTAGTAATCCGCTGATGGCGGTCGGGTAAGTTGAAGTCAACTGAATTCGAAAAGGTAACTCAAACAACGGATCAATCACTGATTTTATCAGGTTGGTGTACAGTTGTAGTTTTTCAAAATTTCCACATTAAACGACCGCCAACGTTTAGTGAATTCTCTGTTATAGGTGGTCTCGCCAGCTTGATATTGACAAGAACCCCAAAACTTGAATTTTCCTGGCTCCTTAGAAAACTTAAGCCTAGGATAATTGGTCAGGGATTGGTACAAATGCCGGTATGTTTGGTGATGAGGGTCTATTCATTGTAGCAATTGGCCCATAAGCCAACAAGACCCCCCCCCTCCCCCTCCCCCCCCACCCCCCAAAATAGTAGAGGCCCCATTTTTAAGAAAGAGGGCCTAAAGTACCCTAAAGGTATCTGAACATTTTTGTTCCACTATTGCTGGTTTAATTTTTTCCTTCACTTTTTTGATCCCCGTTTAACTGCATCTAGTTGAGCTATTTTCATTACAGTCAAGTAACTGGTAATTAATATTTTGGTTTAAAAGTCTCAGTTGAGTGACACAATTTTTAACAACCTTTCTTTTACAACTTGAAAGATGCACCCCCAACTGTACACTTCACTCCCAGTTTCGTACCAAAGTCATAAATCTATAGATACCTTCAAATAATACCTTTAAATTCTTTACTCCGGTATTACCTCACCGCTATTTGCCATGCCATATTTGTGGTGGTATGTTTCCCATTGCAGAAATCCCCTAATGCCGCATCCTAGAAATACAGTTGAACCCCTCCACATTGGCCACCTTGGGAACAGAAGAAAGTGGCTGTTCTGGAGAGGTGGCCATGATTATGGGGAGTGGGTGGCATTTAGAATTTAGGGCTTTGCTACCATAACATGCAAAAAAAATCAAAACTTTAGCTACGCCTAGGGTGCTCAGAGTGTCACTCTGGAGAGCAACTATAGCTAGCTCCCCTTAAAATTCCCCTGAAGCAAAAATCAATAGGATTTCTTGTGTGATCATTTATCATACTTCCCGACGTAAAATTTCAGGCATAAAGAAGGAATTCAGTAATTTTTATTTTCAGGGGACAAAAACTTTGTACCAGAATAATTTAAAGAATATTGCATTCTTTTTTACATTTTTGTGAAAAAACAGGTAAACTTCTGAAAATTTCATGTGTAAGATGTAATTTTGTGAAATTTGACATTCATTTTCTTGGGCTCCCGTAAGAAATTTTCTTAATGGTGTTGTTGCAGGTGACTGATTACATCTCTAGCCCTTGAAAAATGTAAAAAAGAATGCAATATTCTTTAAATTATTCTGGTACAAGGTTTTTGTCCACTGAAAATTAAAATTACTCAATTTCCTGATGGATTCCGTCTTAATATAAATACTGTTTTTTTATACAGTATATCATTAAGTGTCAGGTCCTTAGTTCTGATATGTCAGTTACCAAGAAACCACCTGAAAAGATCTGCAGCATAACTTAATCAAGCCTTCACCCCCACTCTCTCCCTCCAAAAACATGCTTATGGAAGATGTTTTTTACATGTACCATAAAATCTCTAAATTGTCCATCATCCCAGTAACAAGCTTTGTATCAGGAGTACTCCACTAGTATATAATAAATGTTAACCTCTTTTTACCATTCAATCTAGTTAATGTATTTCATTTTGACCTCAGAATGGCAGCCAGATCTTATGAAGCTGGTTTTAGAAAATACTATGGTGACAGAGTGACCAACATCTCAGATGACACATCAGATGAAGAAATTAGACAAGTTTATGACCACTGGGCTAGAGATTATGACAAGGTGATTAAAATGTATCAAATCAAGTCCAGAGACTATACTGGATCAACAAGGTTTCTTTCATCATCCTCCCCACCCCCAACTCCCTTTCAAGAGTTGGAGGATATAATTTGATGTTACCAGTTTTTTTTAAAAATTGAATGTATCTTAAACCTGTTTCACACTGAATCCTTTTATTTAATAAAGAAACTGTAGGTTTTTAAACTCCTTATTTGATCTCCTTTTGTTACTATCCTTTGTGTGAACATGTGCACCTTGATGCACTCCATCATTTTTGTCATAAAATTTTACATGTGCATTGTTGAGGTAGAGATGGAGGGGACAAATCCTGTTGTCCCATTCAAAATTTTCTGGGAGCGACAAGTTTCATGTTACATTAGTTTGATTTGTATTAATTAGATGTAACAATACAAGGTTTTTTTGTAATTTCCATATTACTTCCAATTACTGATTTCAATTTGAGAGTAAGGTATATAAGTTGGTCACAAATTTAAGATAATTCACCTTAAAAAGTGACTGTAAACTTTTTAAGTGATTATAAGGGCTAGAAATCTAAACCCAAGGACATTATGCTCCTGCATGCTTCTAAACAATTTCCATGCCCTGTCCTGGAGGCTTGAACTATAATATGTTTCATTCTTTTGAGAGGGGAGGGTGATAGCAGATAAAGTCTTACCCTGAAATAGCAGTAGCTGATTCAGATCTTCAACATTCAGTATGGGAGGCAGGGGAGGGAGTTGCTTGCTCATCCCGAGTCATCCCAGGATCAGATTAAAGCCTAGCATAAAAAATAACTCTTTTTGACGCCTTCAGGCTTCAGTTTAGGTAAAAAAAAAATGGTCGGGCCTTATCCTTGGACCCCCTTCCCTATATCTGCCACTGCTGTATGTGTTATTTTAGTAAAATCCAGCTAGTGGTCTATTATCAATGCTCCGTTCTGATTGGTTGAGCTACGACTAGGCTATATTTTATAGCCCACTAGTAGCGAAAAGCTCCAGCTTTCAATGGCGGCTGAATCGCTTTTGGTAGCTTAAGTTGTTTTGTCTCGATATTTTTGACCAGCTAGTTGGATTTTACTAAAACAATTCTTATTCCTGTTGCCCTCATTGCCTCTGAGTCAATAGCCCATTTGGACTTGAGGAATAATTGTTAAATATTCTTGACTTACACCATTGGAAATTAAGTCCTATACATGTATTGATATCGGACTTAATAAGCTGTATTGAATTAAACACAAAAATAAGTGGCCCATCTGTTGTTTGCGTTTATCTCTGTCCCTTAGAATGTTGTTGAGGCAGCACGTGGTGTTTATCACAAGCCACTTGCTGAATGTCTGGAGGGAGTTCTCACAGAAAATTTTCCCGAAAAAGCAAAAGATGACCTTAAAATCATTGACGTGGGAGCTGGGACAGGATTAATAGGAATAGAACTTCAAAAACTTGGTTACAGTAATCTCCACGCGCTGGATATTTCACCTGAAATGTTAAAAGAAGCAAAGAAACGGAACATTTACAAGAGGTTTTTTTGTGTCGGATTAAGTGACCAACAGATTACCGAAATACAAACAGGAGAGTTTGATGCCCTTATATGTGCTGGTACCCTCCTCACAGGGCATATCAGGGCAGCTGCTTTTGAAGAAATGGTCAGGATGGTGAAACATGGTATAATAACTAATCATTGATTGTTATTGTTGTTGCAGTCACGGCCTCTGATAGAGTGCAAAAAATACTAGGAGATTAAGGGGAATCTTCTGGAGGTCACGTTACATGGCAAAAAGGTCTATTATATTAAAAAAAAAAGAGTTTTCCGACCTCAACACGGCCTGGTTTCCCCGCGAAATGACGTTCGAGGAACGAGCGCAGAAATTCCATACTGATGACAACTGATAACACGTCTAGCCTTTTGTACATTATGCTAGCATTTTTTCGAGCATTTTAGTGAGGCAAAAGCATTGAGCATTATTCGAGCATTTTAGTGGCATTTTCCCCGGAAAATTAGTTTTCCGAGAAAATAAAATAGAAATTAACTTTTTTCAGGAGCCCATGCCCCACGAGCTCCTGCGTTTTTAAAGAAAATGAAGAGTAAAACTCAAAATTCACAAAAAACCTAATACAGCTGTTTTTTTGGCTGTATTTATGAACTTGTACACGTTGTAGTTGTTACTTGCAACACTTGCACGTTTTTGTAAGTGTAAACTTTGAAATTAATTTAAAAAACCGTTTGTATAATGAACATTATCCGAGCATTTTAGTGACTTTTTTGGGGAGACCGAGCATTTTAGTGCGAAAAATGGAGCATTAAGGTGGAGCATTTTAGTGGGGAAGCAAAAGCATAATGTACAAAAGCGTAAACACGTCTCCATAGCTATCCAGATCTCGGTAGAACTTCTGATTAAACCAAGCAAATTTTTAACCAATCACAAACAGTACCCATATCTGGGTAGTGACGCGTCATCAGTATGGAATTTCTGCAGTCGTTCCTCAAACGTTATATCACGCGGAGTAATGGCGTCGTGAAATGTCGGCAGCTTTCTCAGGCTAGATAATCAGAAGCCCGCTGTTGTTGTTGCTTTGTTTATTTTTGTTCTTATCATGCTCACGAAATGAAGACTTATACAAATACTTCATTTTAATTGTTTGTAGGTGGTGTAATCTGCTTCAACATCCGGGATAATCAGCTGGTTGACTATCAAGCAAAAATACGGGAACTTGAAAAAGCGGCAAGATGGGAAATGATCACTGAGAACGTAGTGTCTTTTTTCGAAAGTGAGGAAATGCCCAGAGAAACTTACGCTCTCTTGTTTAGAGTTTTAAGGAAATAACGCAAAAATTCCAGCTCGTAACTACGTAGATTCTGAAATATGAAAACCTCAGCAAATTTTTGACAAGTCTGACGCTGTTTTTATTATTATTATTATTATTATTATTATTATTATTTTATTTTATTTTATTTTTTTATCTTCAGTTTTTAAGTTTGTGTTGTAAATAGTCCTGTTTTAGACTTTTTTAACCAATAAACTGTGGTAGAAAATCAACTTCTTTTGAGAGTTCCATGGCTCCTCAGGGGGGAGGGGTGGGTATAGGAGAAGAGGAAATGGAAGGAACAAATCCTGTTGTCCCATTCCAAATTTTCTGGGAGCGACACTAAAAACGGCTGCGAGCAAGACTATTGCAGAGGCAAAAGTGTCCTTGCCCGCGAGCTCTTGTTACTCAAATCATGTCCCCTGGGCTTACAGGGAAACTTATGGCCAAGAAGAATGGGGAATGGGAGAGACTAAGATCAAGTTTTTTTCTATTCAAACTTCCTTTTTTTTTATTGGCTGTTGTCAGGAATGGGATTTAAGCACACAAAGATACGGCAATGTTGTTACTACCCTGAGCAGGCTGAACTTTCCATGCAGTTCAAATTGATTCCATTTAATTTAATCGACTGGTTCGTAGCTTCAGATATGTTGTTGTTCTAGAGCAAAAATGGTCCCTGGTCTGTCACGGGTGCTCCGTTTTTCTTTTTTTCTTAGAAATTTCGGAAATCACTTTTCGAAAAAATATTAAAGCCATGTCCGTAAAGAGAGGAAGTGGGTCAATAAACAAGAAAGAATAAAAGGAAGGAAAAGCGACAAGAACGTGATAGTTAACTTTTAGCCTTATTGTAAATAGGATCAACATTTCGTCCTAACGCTGTGCCTCGGCGAATTCCGATTCCTTGACGGCAGAACTTGGATTCCATTTCCAATGGTTCGTGTGATTCCGGATTGCTTGAATTGAGAATTCTGGATTCCAAATCCCATCATTCCGGATTCCACAAGCAACAAATTCTCAAATTTCGGTTTGCGGATTACCTTACATTGGCCGAGACACTAGTTGACGCAACACTGGTTGAATAATGGCAATTTTATCTCGTCCGTCAGCAATCTGTCGTTTCTTTGTTTACTAATTTACTTTGTTGTTGTTGCTGCTGATTTGTTTGGAGATCTTGTATACATAGCCAATCATGTGACGTTAAGAACAATGCCCTCTTTGTTTTCATTCTAGATAGAGGGAGGTGTGACCGGGGGAAAATTTGCCAATATCGCCAGTATCCATGATCAGAAATGCCCTCTTTAAAGGACTCATTTCTTAATTCAAATTCTCATTTTTAACTTGAAAAAACATCCCTAAACTTTGAAAGCACGTATAGCGCTGATAGATTTCAAAACACCTATTCAAGAAAGCACCCTACCTCCCCTAGACTCAGTCAGACTAAGTCAAGTCAGTCAGTTGTAGCAAGGTCATTCATTCGAAAGCATATTTAATTTCACTTTAAGTTTCCCGAAAGTTCCCTGATTAGTCAACACCATAGCAGTACAGCTTTGATCGCATCCCACTTTACTTTCAGACGTACTATCTTAGTTATTTCATAAAAGGAAATAAAACATAAAGAAAATCTATGAAATTCCGTGACTTCAAAACCCCATATTTTAACACTCTGTCTTCCTGTTTCAGAACTGTCAGAGTACCGTATCCGTAGCCTCCTTGGCCAACGATTTAGTTTTGCCAAAGTTCGTGCAAGGGGCTCGCACGGAAATATTCAAGAAAATAGTTCATATGTCGTAATTATAGAAGCACCTTATTTGTTGGCTAGCCAGCCGTCCGCACTTATCATAAACTCATTTTAAACTCTAGATTGGTGATCCAAAGAAGTTTGAATAAATGTTGAAGGAAGAAATTAAAAACAGAGTATACTAAATGAAATTAATAAAAAAAAAAGAAATATACCAGTCAGCCGTAGCAAGGTAGCATATTTAATTTCACTTTCAGTTTTCCGGAAGGTTCTCATTGGTTAGTCAACGCCATAGCAGTACATCTTTAGAGATTTGATGACATCGCACTTTACTTTCGCACTTCTCTAATCATCTGACCACGACTCGATTACAAACGGTACAGTAAAAACCCGTGACTAAGAACCTGGTTTTTAAGAACCTGTTAGCCTTAAATTTTGCCTCTTAGGCCTCCTCTATACAAGAACCTGTTTAGCCTAAAATTTAAAACGGGTTCTTATTTTTAAATTTTTAAATTTTTTTCTTCCATCATTGGCTTTTTTAATATTCATTCAAAGATATTGTAACCGAAGTCACGCGAATTAGTGTCCAACCGCTTTATTTTATAAATCACACTCCTACGGTACTGTACAACCAAAAATACAAAGAATACGAAATTACGAAAAATGTAGAAATCAGTACAAAATAACAAATACATCAAAGAAAACGGAAAAGCGTACAAATAGCGTATGACTAAAATTTACCTTAACGGTTTCTTGACTTAACGTTAAAAGGAATGAGCTGTTCTTGACCGATAAAAATTGTAAAAAACACTGACCGACAAGACTAAGTTTATACCAAAAAACTTGACAGATTACAGATTACAGATTACAGATTACAGATTACAGATTACAGATTACAGATTACAATATAACAAAAGAAAACTATAAACAATTACAACTAATTGCAAGTAGACGCGAACAAAAGAAACAAAGAAAACCCTAAGTTCTAGAAGTTTCGCTTTAACACACCGGCCTCGAAAGGCAGACGGGCATTCAAGCCTTGCCTTTCTTAAGAAAACTAAGCGAAACTAGTAAACGAAACTT